TGTGTGTATGAGAGCGAGAGAGAGAGAGAGAGAGAGAGAGAGAGGGAGAGAGAGGTAGAGAGAGGGTGGGTTGGAAAGGCACCTGTGCCATATTTGCTTTGCATTTTGTTTCATTAATGTTCTCAGGTTTCTGACTATGCACGATATTTCTTCAAACAAACACACACACACACACACACACACACACACGCCAGTAACCCCTCCGCCTTCCCTCTCCATATTCTCCTTTTCTCATCCTTATCCAAATTTACTTGTCCACGATGTTTTCGAACAGACACAGAGCACAGACAGCCGCACAAACACACACACATCTTCTTTTTTTGTGTGTGTACAGATGAGACACCACATGCTAAAACAAAAAAAGACTGACATTTTTAAATGTCACTCATTTGGCCTGCAGACGTAAGTTTTTCTATAGCGACTAAATTGGGAGTGTTGTTGAGGAGGGCTTATGTTTCTGCTGTATTGTATGTTAAGGCAAGTGCCCAGCCATGCAGAGCAATTTCTCTTGCAAAGTAAGCCTTTTTAAGAGGCATCAAAGACTTATTTAAAGCTTATTTCATTACAGTCTGAACTATTGGTTTGAATATATAAATGTGTATTTGGAGTCTCTTGCAGGACACTGAGAGGCATTTGTGTGATGTCTAGCATTAGTGATGCCATTTTGTGAGGAATAAGTGGTCCGAGATTGAGTGTAATTGGTAAAGTTGATTATGGTTCGTCTCTATGGGTCTGATGGTGCTCCGTCTCTGTGGCAGTAACGGGTGACAGCATAGCACACGTAAAACAGCCACAGAAAATAGAGAAATCTTGGATCTATGCAAACATTTGGAAGTAAATATCAAAATTGCATTTATCTGAGCTTTTAGGATTTCTTTATTCCAGAAACTTAAAAAAAAAATCTTATCAAAGCTTGTTCAGGTGAGTGTTTTTCTTAATCAGACCCAGTGGAATTCAAAAGTTGAGAGGGCATTGTTGTAAATTGGGTTGATGGATGCATTTCTACAGCACATATTAATATACTAAGCCATACGTATCTGTAATTAGAATCAGTACGCATTGTATGGCACTAAGAGGACAGCACAATGGCAGTACAATAATGTAAAACAATGAATGTTTGGTCATTATGGTGCAACAAAGTAGGATGCTGGAGGTTTATTTGAATGATACTATCCATCCTTGTTGTTATTTAAAAGCCACAAGAATGGTCTAATGCTGTTAAGCACAGTATAGTAACAAGACTGAGACCCAAGCTAATTTCCTCCTAAATGAGAGTTTATGGCTGAAACAGCCCTGAAATCACTGAAGTAGATCTTAATATCAGCATAAGAGCTGTCAAGGATAAGAGGCCAGATAGGAGTGTGTGTATGTGTGTGTGTGTGTGGTTGTTGAGTGTGCTTGGGTTGTCCTGTGTGTTGGTCTCAAAGACAAAGGGAGGGGTTAAGGGTCAAACTAACAGCAGACAAGCCAGTCGAGGGTCAGAGGGCTTAGACTAACCTGATCAGTGATGGTTGTTTATCTGGCGGCCCTCGAACTGTCACCCCGATGGAGCTGCATTATCTTTCCCTGTCGTGCTGGACTTTCACTTTTAGACCAGTTTTGAAAAAAATCTGATCCTGCTGAAAGAAATAAACATGCACACATCATGAAAAAGCAGATGCAGGGGTTTGTTGTTGGCCGGTCGGCGTTGCATGCCATGTGCCTCTCAGGATTGGGTCCAAATGAAGATCTTTGCCTCCCTGATTTTCCTGCCAGTGGAAGCAAAGTTTTTAAAAAGGACACTGTGATGTGAGCAAGAATAATTGTTTTAACTCCTAACATACCGCCAAGGTCCCAAGACCAGCAGCCAAACACACATGACAGGGTGAAAGGGATAGAGGCGCTCCCGCAGTGGGTGGTGGTGGGGGTTGCGGGACGTCATGGAGCCAATGTCCCGTCTGATTACAGCCAGAGGACTGGAGAGGCACGCTAATCCTCCACCCACCCACACACACACACACACACACACACAGACACAAATATAGACACACAAAAACACTCTTGTTGAGACAAAGACACACAACCAGCAAGACAGAAAGACATATACACACACACACATACTGACACACACAAACCTATTCAATCAAGAGATTACACCCCATACCCCCTGACCTCACTCTGGTCCGCTTGTCCAGACGGGACACACAGCATAATGATATCACTACCAGCAGGACTTCACTTTGCTGCTCTGCCTGTTTGCTCACTGTACAGACCGACTGCAGCCCTTCGCAGTCTCCCAGTTTTCAATAAAGGAATGTTATTATCAGGTTATTATTGTGCATGTGCCCAGGGTGTAGCCAGGATTAAAAAAAATACTCAGATCTCAGTTCTTGCAGTGTACCCCTCCTCCCAGACATTTGGACCAGATATAAAAAAAAATATCAATTTGTTATAATTCATAAAAATCTTTGTCTGCATTGTTAAATTCTGGTGGGGAAACACTGAATCCTTTCTTCCTTTCTTTTGTTTTAATGACCT